GGGGAAATAAAAGTCCAATCAGTATAGGAAGTAACTAATAATGATTCAAAAAGGGGTAATCATGGTGAAAAAAGGCTATTGATACGAAATAGTCGCTTTTATCTTCTTTCTTTCTCACTCTACTGTTCCTAATGTCCTGATCTCGCGGCAGAAAAAAAGGAACTGAGGGGAAGATTGGAGGGGCAGAGCTTGCGCTCCAAGGGGGGTAATTTATTGTGAAATCTTTTTGAAGCTCTAGAAACTTCCTGCGCAGGCGCAGAAGAAACCCACTTGTGTGCATTCACAGAGGCCACGATGAAGAAAAATAAATTTTAAAAATGAAATATCTGACACAAAAAATTCAAAATAAAAAACTCTACCCAGCCACAAGGACTGGTGATCACTACACACAAAAAACTAGCTAACGACACCCATCAATCACAGTGACAGATCATCTCCCCCCCATCACAACAATACACCCGTAACAAAATACACCCTGATCAGCATAATCACCCAATCTTCTGAAAAGGACAAAAAGCTGATCCCACAACTATAAATACAATAGTGCCTCAACTTACAAACACCCCTACATGTGAACATTTTGACTTACGCTCAGGTCACAAAACTTTGCTTCAAATTGAGAACGGAGCTTCGACTTACAAACAGAAAAAAACATGGGGAAGGCGGGGAAAGTGGGAAATTTGAACTTTCAGTTAACCGTTGGCCAGAGAAGAGGCTGCTTGTCTGCTACCTCACTTGCCCCAGTGTTTAGAGAGTGTGGATGCAGAGAGAGACTTCAGACTGCCTGGTACTGTACTGCCTGGTACCGTACTGTGTGTACTGTATTTATTTTGGCTGTTTTTTTAAAAAATTGATTTTTGGATTTTGACTATCTATTTTAAAACAGAGACACTGCTTGTTCTGGGTGAGTACACTGTATTTACTGTACAGGGGTTTTGCAGCTTGGGTTTGGGCCAGGTGGGGGGTTATGTTACTGTGCTCTGATGGGTCCTGCAGACCCTTTTCGCAAGGGTCCATGCTGGCTGGTGTGCTTTAAAATGGAGTTTAGTCTTTTGGTTTTAAAATCAGAATTTTTTTTTGCAAGGGTCTGTGCTGGCTGATGTTCTGTAAAATGGATTTCAGTTTTTTGGTTTTAAAATTAGATTTTTTTTCCCAGGGTCTGTGCTGGCTGTTGTGCTCTAAAATGGAGTTTAGACTCAAGTCTCCGCCCCCAATTGTCTTCTCTGTATATATATGTTCCCCAGGTGCTTGGTTTGGTTTAAAATGTTTTGTTTAAAAGGTGCTTGGTTTGGTTTAAAAGGTGTTTGATTTAAAAGGTGCTTAGTTTGGTTTAAAATGTGTTGGTGTAAAATGTGTGGGTTTAAAATGTGTTTTAGACTGCAAACTCCTCCATTGTCTTCACTCTCTATGTCTTCTCTCTTTTGGTGCTTAAAAGAACAAACCTTTCTCTGAGGGGTCTGTGTGCCCCAGGGATGACCTTCTTTCTTTCCTCTTTCCCCCATTGTTCCCTCCATCCCTCCTTTCCTGCTCTTTTCTATAACTTAAATCATATTAGGTTAAAAAAATCTCCCCCTAGTGGTAGAGGATGGATTAACTGGTTTTGCATTAGTTCCTATGGGAACGAATGCTTCGACTTACAACCGGCACCTCTACATACAAACAAAAAACAGCCTGAATGGATTAATTGGGTTTCAATGCATTTCAATGGGAAATGCTGATTCGACATATGAACTTTTCAATTTACGAACATCTTCTGGAATGGATTAAGTTCGTAAATCGAGGCACCACTGTATTCAGCTATCCTACACACTACACCACAACACAGACAGAGTTCTAACTCCTGTCCTCTGAAAGATGCCGGCCACAGAGACTGGCAAAACGTTAGGAAGAAAAACCTCCTGAACACGGCCAAACAGCCTGAAAAACCTACAACAACCAAAATAAAAAAGCTTAAACTTTTTTCTGCAATTAATGTTATTTTACACAAACATACAAACCACTGAAGTATATACGAGATTTCCAGGCAGCATTTTGAGCCACTAAGTAGCTTCAGCAAGCTTACTGTGTTGAGCACATTCAGTTCGTCTGATGCCAGTAGTTTGTGTACATACATTAAGTCTAAATTTGTGAAACTAGTTAATTAGAGAAAATATAGAAAATATTATTTCACAGTTAAACAGCAGCATGTCTATTCAGAGAACATTGATTGATTGGTCTTATACTTATTAATCTATTCCAGAGAAATGGAAAATAAGGAATATCATAGCCTACTACTGAAGCATAACTCTAGAGGAATTATTT